ACACGCTATCTCCCCATGTATTTATAAAGTAACACATTACATTTTTATTAATACAAATAAATTTGTAAATAAAATACCTCATTCCGTATTTAAAAGTTTACTACATTTTCTCTTTTTACTAGGTTTTTCCTTTAAAAATACTTAATTAATCCCACCTTTTCTACTCGTTATATTCTCCTTTCTACTTTTCCACAATATAAAAATACAACATACAATTAATACATGTCTTTTTTTTACTCCAGGGGTGGCTGGGGAGAGCCTGGAGTAATCAAGACTGAAACTCAGTACATTGAGTTTCCAACCCTTGTGTGCCTAGTGAGATTCGAACTCGAGACCTCTCACTAGGCACGGTAATCTCACAACAGGCTGAGCTGGAATGTTTGGTTTAATACATGTCTTATATACTGTATTTTTGAGTTGTGAAACGTTTTAAACATTTTGTGTCTTTATTCATTCCATGAACGATGAAATGTATATTTAGCCATATTTGTATCGTATTGTACACAAATGTACATAATATTGTACTATTCACGAACCGTATAATACTAAATAATCACATGGATTAGTAATGATAGCAGAATTTGGTCATGGTCAACCCGGTTAACGCAAAAAAAAAACGGGCAATATTTTGTGAAAAATAAACATAAAATATAATTCATTATTTATTATATTAAAGAGAAAATAACATAAATGGGAGTAACCCAATGACTAAATGTTTTGAATGTTTCACAAATACTCTATAGTTTATTTGTATAATACTCTTGTAATACAATCAATAAAAAAATGAAATACACGTAGTTTTTTTAGGCAAAGAAACTCGTTGTTTTTTTGTATTAAAAAAATGTAATGCGTTAAACTATAAATACATGGGGAGATAACGTATTGAACAAACAGACAAGGAGCTGAGTTGGTTTGCATCTTACATTACTCTACCGTTGGTCTGGGGTTCGAATGTAACGTTGTTTACTTTTTTCCATTAAGTCCTGAATGGGTTAAGTCATCTGACTGGATTAATATGTCTGTCTGGATTAAGTGATACTGAGATAACAAACGGTTTACTGTGTGTGCTGAATGAGATGTCTGAATTATTTTAAATGACCGAAAACCCCTCATGCCTGGAAGAAGTATAGAATGTATATTGTCTGTTTACTTTCTTCATTCTAAATGATGATGATAATTTCATATGTTTAAAACCATTATATTATAAATTACTTACTTAATAGACAGAACATTAGCTACTAATCAAAATTCCCAAACTTTAAAACAGAAACAATGTTTTCTATTTTTAGTTCACAGAGCAAGCAAAAAAATCAGAATAACATTTAAGATAAGTATCATTGGTCCAGATTTTGAGATGAAAATCTACCCCTTCCACCATAAAAAATGAGCCCAAAAGAATAATTTCAGATATTCGTGGACAAATGATGAATGAATAATAAGCATACAACATTAACATCCCGGAAACAATAAGCATACAATATTAGCATCAATCACAAAGTAGCAGATATACAACCTAAGTTTTTACAATATGTCATATTATAATTAAGTTAAATTATAGGAATTTTACCAAAATATATAAATGGAGTAGATTTACCTGAAAAAATGGAAAATGGTTTGGCCTACACCTTACCAGCAATTCACGACTTCCACATGGAAGAGGCCATCACTTTTTGCATTCTTCTCCCACAATTTATAAAAGGAATGAATTTATCATGAACAAATTGATTTCACCTAGCCCTACAAATTGTTTGAAACTTTCTCATGGTGTGAATTTATCAGAAAATAAATGAGTTCGCCGAACACTTGCACCGTTCCCAGCTTTCATATGACCATACGGCCATACCCATCAATTTGAGAATTCTTCTCCCTCAATTTGTGTAATTTCAAAAATCAATTTGAGAATTCATCTCCCTCAATTTTTGTAATATTAAATTATATTTATTAGATACTTAGTTCTCGCTTTTATCAAGCAATATTCAATTAGCAACATAACATTATTCTAAAAATAAACAATCTCCTACGTACTATTAAAAACTGCATGTGACTTAGAAGCACCAATAATAAACAAAAAGTGTAATTCAATTGGTTCTATATCCTCGTACGATTCATGCAATTGAACCAAAGATAAGTTATTCAAAATGTATTTGTGGATTTGTATCATTTAGATTTTTTTTTTCAAAATTTTGATAAAATTTTAATCTTTTTTATGATCAAATAGTTTTCCTTTGTTTTGTCATTTCTTAGGCTTTAGTTTATCAATGTATTCTAGAGCATTTCGATTATAAAATCTAATTTATTTTTCTCATTGACATTTGTTTTTGAAAGAAGGGACTTAGATTGATATCACAACATTCAGACAGGGGTTAAAACAGCTAAAGAACAACATGTAACCATTAGCCCTTGAACCAGGCTCAGAGTTAATCACCTTTGACAAAGAAATATAACTCGTTGATCCTAAATTGGGCATAAATGAGCCAAAGATGATTACCACAGGTCTCTCATCACTCAATCCTAATGCAAGAGTCTTACAGCAACAAAAGCAATTGAAAGAAAGAAAAAAAAAACAGTCTGAACGTGGCAATTAAAAAACAAAAATGCAAAAAAACAAACACCATAATTAGTCCTCCTGAGCACAGTCGCACATCTAGCGGGTCTAGAGACCCGGACCCGCCGCGTCCCCATTTTTTGGTTTTTCTAGAGACATATCATCGCCCGTTTGGGTCCTCTTGTGTCTGCTCTTTCCATATCATTCTGCGCTTTTGATCCCCCGACACATCCTCAGTGCTGCCCATGTCTCCTTCCTTAGTCACATTGTTACATGTACCTGTTGTGGACTCACGCCAGCCCTGTCGTCCCCCTGTCCCTTCACCTTCGTGATCTGCTTTTCTTTGTTGGCTTACCATTTCTGAGCTTGAAGAGAGTTTCCACTATCCACTTGTTACCTCTTGTAGGACTGGTTCTCACCCCTCTACCAGCCCGAAGTTCTACCCCAAATGTTTTTTCAAACATTGAGCCTTACTCATATTTTAAGGGACAAAATTTATCAGAATGCTCAATCACTCCACAAATAATGCAAAAGTTGGGAAGCTTTTCATATTTGAAATCCACCCAATGTCCGATGCCGCCTTTCTTGAGAGTAGAACCCCTTTTCAGAGGCTTCCCAACATCCATACTAACTCTAATCCTCATATACGATTCCCACCTTTATTCAAAGTGGCTCTCATCAAAACTAATAAAGTTACTAATATAATTTTCAATCCTTCTAGCAGTTCCTAAATTCATGAAACTATATGGTACATTATGAACTTGTACCCAAAACTCTGCCTCAAACAATTTCATTTTATGGGGTATATCATGTGGCTTAACTTCCTAAAGAAGAAGCAATTTTCTTTCAAACAACCAAGGAACTCTCAAGCACACGATAATTCATATCACAATATGGTAAAAAGTAAACAGATACCTTTTATCATCTATTTCTTTGATGGAGATTCCTTTACGTGGACGCTATATAGAAGCCAATAGGTCTTTGAAGACTTGAAATTTGATTTTCTGGTCAATGAGGGCGACTCCAACCACCGGGAATACCTCCTTCCCCTCTGCCGCATCAAACCCTTCACCTTCCTCATTATCGAAATTTAGTTCACTATCGTCCTCCTCAGTAACCATGCATCTGCTTGTAATGGTTCACAATATCATCCATTCATCGCCCTCGATTTGTTCCAGAACCTGCTGCCTTGCCGATCAATTGAAACAGCGCCAAGAAGCTTCAGCCTTGCCGACTCGGTCCCACAACACTCTGGCCTGCAAACCTGCAACGTTCAAACTTTCCGCGAACAGCCTTGGAAGTTCCGCCTAAAAGAGGCGGCCATTCTTCGTCCTTGACGAAAACGGGAAAAACGACTCTAGTTGCGGAAGCCCTAGAGAGAACCTTTTTTTTGCCTATTCTCATTAACTAAACTTAGAATGTAGCAAACTTTTTTTTATCGTTATAATGTAGCAAACATAAATGTCGTGTATATGGTCATGGAAATATTTTTTTGAATAAAAAGTAGCTAACGCCCTACATACAACAACATCCAAACCTAGATTCAAGCCCCTTGACTTTAAATTCTTGATTCGTCATTGCCCTTCTTGCCTAAGACGAAGCCTTGACATCACCAAACCGCTCTTGGAACCTCTAGTCTTCCCCATTTTCTGAGGCGCATCATTTGAGAAATTTCTCTCATATTCACCTCCTTGATGACTTGAACTCAAAAACTCTCATGTGGCTTAAGCATGGGAAGTAGATCACTTTATCCATTCCCATTTCCCACTTGTCAAGAGTTGTAGATCCTTCAAATTTGTTGGATGTAGACATATATATGCAAAACTCTACAAGAGACATGATAAAATAATATTGCAGTCTAGTAGTTTAAAGCTTACACGAGAATAAAAAACTCTATAGAAACACGATTGCACATTTTTACAAGCCAGAACTAGTATAAGAAAGCGACATCCAAAATCATTAGTCCATACCGATTCAATCCCTCAAAAATAAACTGAACACTTCGATTTTGGTTATGCTGATAAGCTTAAAGATCATCCGAAATAACAATTGATCCTAAACAAGGCCAAGCTTGTTTTTCCCATCCCCAGTTCAAGATAGTACTGACTTTACCGCGGAGGCGGCGGAGCCAGCGGAACTGGATAAACACAAAAATTCTTCCATCTCAATTGCATCTCTGTCATGTTGCCATCTTGTGAACACCACAAATCTGCCAACAAACGATGTCAAAACTTCGCTATTGCAGCAAGATATGAACAATGGCAGAACCATAATGTTATTGTTGGGTGGCCAATATGAGGTTTAACTGCATATTTTATTGCATACATATATGTATATAACTTGTTTCTCTGCCCCCCGGGCCTCTACAAAGATCTACCCCTGAAGATGAAGGAAAGGTAAGGCATCTTCCTTATACTAAACTAAAGGTTTAAATATTATTGAATGCAAAGGCATATCATATAAAGGAGGCGAATATATAATATATAAACTAAACAATCTTTCCAATGTATAAAAACAATAATATAGATGAGGCGAATATATAATAAGCTTATTCACACTGTTCAAGAGAATATAATGCAAAAAAATAAAATTCCGGTAAATACCAAAAAGAGATTCTGGGTACAACGTTGAGAGACTAAACTACTAAAAGGCACAAAATTATCAACATCCTCTCATCTCAATATGATACATTGGGCTGATCATCATTTAAGTTGTTCATCCCCATCTCATTATTGCGGAGCCCCATGTAAGGCCAGCCCCAAATCCAGCAGCAGCAATAGTATGGCCTGATCGAACTTTCCCGCTTCTAACTGCTTCATCCAAAGCCAATGGAATAGAAGCAGCGCTTGTATTCCCATAGTTTGATAAATTTGATATCACATTTTCAGGTGGGATAGCCAAACGTGTTGCAACAGCATCAATAATCCTTTGATTCGCCTGCATTTACCCAATTTTCTAAATGTCGAGACTATAAAAAAATTTAAAAAAAATTGGAGTTTTCCTGAAATAATGCTTTTATAGAAACTTGTGAACAATAATATGACTAGAATTGATCAACACACTGTAAAGTTAAACAACATCATGGTCACTGCAGTATAAAGTTGAATACCTTCAATCGTCATGTTTTTACTACACTCACTGCAAAAATGCCACTATGTTCAAGGCTCTCAACATTTTAAAACTAACCTTTAGTCCACTTTTCATTTACTTCGATCACATATTTATAATTATTTCTTTAGAAAACAGAGGTATAAATAAATAAATAAATAAATAAATAAATAAATAAATAAATAAATAAATAAATAAATAAATAAATAAATAAATAAATAAATAAATAAATAAATAAATAAATAAATAAATAAATAAATGAATAAATGAATAAATGAATAAATGAATAAATGAATAAATGAATAAATGAATAAATGAATAAATGAATAAATGAATAAATGAATAAATGAATAAATGAATAAATGAATAAATGAATAAATGAATAAATGAATAAATGAATAAATGAATAAATGAATAAATGAATAAATGAATAAATGAATAAATGAATAAATGAATAAATGAATAAATGAATAAATGAATAAATGAATAAATAAATAAATAAACCTAATACATGATTAATATGGCCTTAATTCTATGTGGTTCTCGGAATTGCTGATACCAATTGTTGGTTCTCGGGACAATTCCGCTACAAAGGACCACATTTACAGCAATTTGGACAATTGAGGGGTGACATGTACAAATTGAGGAACGCGGATCTGACATTTCAATATGGTGACTATATTAGGGACTAAAAGTGCGATTTTCCCAAATATATTTTAAATATAATTTTGCATACTTAAGCAGATTCAACCAATTCATCCCTTTAAGCCATAACTTGGCAATTTTAGTAGATTCAGGCTTTGTTTGCAACCACGTGTGCTTAAATAAAAGCACTTTTTGATAAAAAGAGATTAGTAGTAAAAGTTGGTAGTGTTTGGTAAAATAAGTGCTTTTTGTGTAATAGAAAAAGTAAAAAGTAAATTCTACACGGAAGTTGAGAAAGTAAAAGTTGGTAGTGTTTGGTAAAATAAGTGCTTTTTTCTAAAAAAAAAAGCCAAAATCACTTTTCTTAAGTGATTGCAAACAAAGCCTCAATCAACTCTGGTCCTACCAAAGGGGACTATTTTCTAATAGATTGCTTTTTGGAATTTTTCAGAAAACGGACCGAGCTTAAATTCATACAGAAGACTGTACACTTCAAGAAAATAATCCTACATGCATCCTGCGGAATTTTTCCATTTCCATACTTCTGACAATTTTTTGTTTTAATTGATACAAACACAAATAGCATACCTGATGGAGAAGTAACCAATCAACGTTAGAGTTGGTGATGCCAGCTTTCTTTAATGAAGCTTCAATAGACTGTGGCACAACACGAACCGCAAACCTAAAGACCTCCTTACCATTCATTTGAACACATGAATAGTTGGAGCGTTTAGGTGGAAACCCAATTAATGAACCGTTTGTTCCCACTTTTTTCTCTGTTTCGCTCTCTTTTAAAGAAGCATTTAAGTGCCTGTAAAATAGAGCAATGTACTAAATGCTTGTTGTGACACAGACACGTCCCCCATATATAGGGTGGTGCGGTTCCAATAATAAGTGGTGTTCTTTGCAAAGTGTGAACGGTTGCACTAATTGTAATGCAAGGTGCACTTTTTGCTTCAAACAATGCACTTTTAAGAATGACAATTTTTTTGACCGAATTATGAATATGCCACCACTTTTTTTTATCATTTTTAATGCATTGTTGGCATATTTAAAGCCATTTGATCATAAATTAGATGCACCAGCTCTATTCTTACTTTTCATGTGAAGTGTGCACTTTTTATTTGAACTCATCCATATATAGGAGTTGGTTATAATAAAAAAGGGTTTAACGTTTGAAATCCTTCGCACCCACTTTTACCTGTATTCGTTGCACTTTATGTGTAGTGCAATGCACTTTTTGACGTTTCGCTAAAAAATCACTTGTTTACAGAAAATGTCACCGCATGTTTTTGTAAATAAGTGATTTTGCAAAACGTCAAAAAGTGCACTAAACTGCACATAAAGTGCAAAGAATATAGGTAAAAGTGAGTGTGAAGGATTTCACACGTTAAGCCCTCTTTTACTTGATCCTAACTCTATATATAATATTTGTAGTATATATCTAGTTGCTGATCATATATAAATATAGACACACACATATGGTTCTATATATTGGTCCACAACGCCTGATGCGGCCACATTATTGTGGTTGCGGGCAGCGGCGCAATTGCATCTGGCCGCTATACCAGTGGGAATTCGAATCACGGAGACCCGCAACGTAACCATGATGAAACCGCATCACTCCGCATCACGCCACAACCGCCCGCATCCAACCACAATGGCACCACAATACCATTACCGCTATCTCCCCAGCTTGATACTTCAATGCTTCTGGTGTTTATTGGGTTGCCTAGATTATTTTTAAACTAATATCTGTTGTATCTGTTTTTTAAAATGAATATGTGTTGTATGATTGTATCTGTTGTTTAAAGGAATATGGAGTACGGACTAGTAGTAATATATGTTGTTTGTTTAAGGCCCTGTTTGATTGGAGGCTTTCGGAGGGGAGGGGAGGGAAGTGAGGGATTTGTGTGTGTTTGGTTGAAGGAAATAGGGGGGAAGAGGAGGAAAGCGGAAGGCTTCCAAAATCCCCCACTTTCTCCCATTCTAAACCCTCCAAATCGGGGTATTTCGGAGGAAACGTGTTGATAACCACAAACTATATCCATCTCCTACGTGAATAAACGAAACGTTATACTATAAAAAAGGTAAAAAATGAAAAGTTTTGAAAAATTCAAAAATTTAAAATTTTAAAAATTGAAAAAAAAAATAAAAAAATATATAAAAAATTAAATTTTAAAATTAAAAAATTAAAAAACTAACAAAACTAAAAATTAAAAAATTTAAAGTTAAAAAATTAAAAAATTATAAATTAAAAAAGTTCAAAATCAAAAGTAAAAAAAAAAAAATATTACGGAGTATGACCATGAGTAATATTCACCATAGTTGGAGATGTATCTATTTTTTTAAGTAAGCTATCAAGTAAAGGTGAATTAGGAAAATATTTTTGTTAAACCTTTCCTCCTATTTCCTCCAACCAAACACAAATATTTATCAAAATCCTTCTTTCCCCTTCTCTTCCCTTCCCTCCTTGACTCTCCCCTTCCCTCCCCTCCTATGAACCAAACAAGGCCTAAAGGAATATGGAGTAGGGACGAGTAGTAAAATTTTAATGCAAGTCAAAAATCTGAATTCAAAAGTTATATCTACGACATGGCATGCTAGATTGCCTTACTGCCCTTACAATAAACCAAACACTTAAATAGCATTATAATAAGCTCATGAAGTACTTGTTAAGAGCTGTTGTAAAAAAAAGTACTTGCTAAGAGGTACCACGTAGGGTCGAGAAGGCATGTTTAGCTTGAATATATTTTTAATTATGTTTGTAATAATTAATTTAACAGTCTTTCTAATCATTATTCACTTTTAATCGTTATATTATTATAGGTTGATTTGTTCTTCACATATAAGTGTTTAAGGAAGTATTCATAATACATCCATTAATTTTATCAACCATTAATTCAAATAAACAAATTTATGTTAAATGTAACTAATAGAAGATTTCTTAAAGAATACAAAATATCATTATATTCCTATTTTAGGCGAACTTGAAAATATTTCATGCCGCCGCAATACGCTTCGCAGCGGCTACATTAGCCGTGACCGTAAACCACTATCGCTGCCGCTGCCGTAATTTAAAACCATGTGTGTGTGTGTCCATACATACCTTTGACCATCACCATCACTATGCAAGTCAAAAGCAAATAAACCATCATCTGCAATGTCACAGGCCTACAGAATAGCCAATATGATTGTGTCAAAATGGCACGAGTATACCATTAAAAAAGGAAATGCAGCAAGGGTTAAGTAATAGTAGTATTACACGACTACAGGGAAAAATAAAAAATAAAAAATAAACTGGACAGTTTTCCTAGTATAGTTCACTGTACAAGTGCATAAGTAGTACTGTAGTAATAACAATAGCATAAACCAACAGTGTCACTGAACTACGAGAACTTCTCATCCTGCTTTGCAAAGCATGTTGGACCAATAAAAAAAAGTGCAAATGAAAGTTACTTTTTTTAAAACTTTGGTTCATCTTCTGAAAACACAAAGGACAATGAAATATGAGTAATGTTTTCAGTTTTTATAATATGTTTAGATTTCTTAGTACTTGAATAGTAAAAAATTAAAAGAAAATATGAACAAATACAAATATTTTTTGAGTTTGAACTAATGTTTTATTCCCCTCAACATTCTTTGATTTTTTCCTTCTAAAAGTCTTGTATCATCATCATCATCATCACCCCAGTGCCGCAAAGGCTCCCACCTACGGTGTGGTAAGGGGGGTCGGATGTACGCAGCCTTACCCCTGTACTAAAGCACAGAGAGACTGTTTCCGGATGACCCATGGTGAAAATCGCGTCGAAAATTGCATTAAGTAACTGCTGCTTCATAACAAAGAAAGGCAGGCAGTTTAGTGAGCCATTTTGCTTTATTCCATCATATTCTCAAGCCAAAAATAGTGAATCTTTGGCTCCATTGCAAATGATGGAATTCTAAAAGTCTTGTATAATCTTCTTATTTACTTTCCCTTGAATTTTTCGAGTTCCAAACAGACCCTTAATGAAAAACATGAGTTTTTATTTCCATAGTTGCATTGTCAAACATATAGAGGGTGTGGGATCACTGCTCTAAAAAAACAGTTAATAGAACTATTAGAAGATTGGAAAGGATTTATGTATATCAACCACATGGATTTTCTTGTCTATGGAAGCATCAAATACAAGTATAGAACTATCATCTCGCTAGCAGAACTATTCTTCTGAGTTCTGATCACTATATAAGTAAACAGAAACATAACTTAAATCAGCTTATAGCTTGAAATGGAAATATGATTCACGTCACAAACAATAAAAGAAGATTTCTACAGTGTTCCCTTAAATCAATTACTCCGTATTAAAGTGACAACATATGTTTTCCCAGTTGAAGAGAGGATATCATGAAAATGGTGATACTTAATACAGTTAATATGTTATCTAGTCCCTCAATTATGCACTATTACTCAGTTAGGTCCTCAATTTCTTTTCTTTACTAAATTTTGTCCAGAAAGTTGGTTCCATTTCAGTTCTTGCTCATGCATATGTAGTTCTAAATAAGGATGGTACCCCCCCCCCCCCCCCCCCCGTTCACTATACATAGAAGCAACTAAAGGACTCAAGTTTTTCCTAGCATATGTAACCTGGACCCAATTTAGTCATCAACAAGCCAAAATATCATTTTTAATAGAAGCAGAATATGGATGACAACTAAATTATGTCTAAATTACATTATTTAGGACAAGATTGAGTCCAAAAGAAAGTCCATGACAAAATAGAGCAATAGTATACTGTTCAGGCTAAATCAAGTATTAACTCTACTTAATAACTTAATATAGTCACGTCCTGTTGCAAAACTGATATTTGAAAATCAACATGCCAAAATACCATTCTTAATTGGAGCAAAATATGAATGACAAATAAGTTGAGTATGGGCTACATTATTCGGGACCAAAATCACATAACAGTGTACAGTTGAAGGACTAAATCGCCTATTAGCTCTGCTTAATAATAACTTAATCTAGCCACAATTCAAAAAAATCATGCACATCAAGGAGGATGACGGTGGGTCCCAGATAATAAAAACAGCACCTGGACAACTACAGCGCCAGCACCATCACCAAAGAGAATACAAGTCCCTCTATCTGTCCAATCAACATATCGAGAAATTGCATCTGCCCCAATTACAAGGACATTTTTAAATCCACCACCTGTACAATGCATAATATACTTATCACTAGAACAAACATACAAGAACATCGGTGAACAGCAAACAGGAAAAGATCATTGTTGGTTCAATAGGCAAATTAGAGTACATTCCAAAAATAAATGGTAAAAAGTTGTTTGTTAGATAGTATAACTAACCTCTAATATAGCAAGCAGCAGATATCAATCCCAGCATGAAGCCACTACAAGCAGCTGTTATATCAAAAGACAACGGGTTTCTATTGCAACCCAGTGCTTTTTGAATCTGATACAGGAGAATCTCACCATTATTTTATGTAAAAAAGCATATTTTAGATTATTTTTAACAAGATAGAATTGAATAAAAGTAATAAACTGAGTGTTTTAAACAAGTATTTGTGAAAACAAGAGTACAAATGAATGATTTGTTAGCTGTGGAATTGACAAATATTGTTACGTGATAGAATTTGACATCAACAATTGAATCATGAAGGGTGAACCAATAACAATTTTCAATAAATAGAAAGTTTTTCCTACTTTTAGTCATTTGACTATTGTCCGGTGACACTTTTGGTACCTGACTTTGGATTTTTCTACTTCTCGTCCCCTAACTATTGTGATAAAAGCATTTCTAGTAATGTCTTTGAATGCTTCCACCTTTAATCCTTGAACAGTCGTGATAATGAAATTTTCAGTCCAGCTATAGTGACACTTTCATACATCCAACTACTTTTTGTCCTTGCAATGGTTGGGGGCAAAAAACGATATTGTGAAACAAATAGTTAGTGGACTAAAAGTAGATGAAATCAAATAAGGGTTCCAAAAGTGTCTCTGCCACAGTCTAAGAACTAGAAGCAAAAAAAAAAATCAAAGATAGTACCGAAAGTGTCATTGACAGACACAATAATGAAAGGACTAAAAGCGGAAAATCCCTCTATACACACACATACATGTATGCGCGTATGTGTGTGTGCTGCAGAGAGAGGCTTTAATTAAACCCATAGAAGCAGTTCATTTTCATTAAGCTACTCAGTTATAATATTTCGCGGGGAGTAACTGGATAAAGAAAGAAATAACCTTACAGTTATAAACTAGTTACAGTCGAGGGGCCGATATATCAAAAGAACGTGGAGAAATATATAAATAGACATTGCAAGGTTATACCTGTGGCGCACTGCCAAAGAGATCATCCGGTGTTGAAGTGCACAGTAAAATTAAATCCACATCATCAGGATCAACCTCAGCCATCTCAAGAGCTTTCTTTGAAGCCTCCACAGCTAGTGCAGTCAAGTTGTCTTTGCCTACATAAGAAAATACGTCAAACCATGGCCAACTGGTCCTGGCATAACACAACTACTACAAAACATTAGCTCCATTCTACATTATTATATTTCCTTATTCACTTCACTATCAAAAAGGCATAAATGTGCAACTCTTAAACAATCTAAAAAACAAAAGAATGAATAGTTTAAAGAATCGTACCTATAGAATGGGATTGAAGAGCATCACTAACCTGAGAGAACTTTTCTGTTGTGAATTCCAGTCCGGACTGAAATCCATTCATCATTAGTATCGACAATTTTCGCAAGATCTTCATTAGATATATTCAAACTCGGTACAGCAGAGCCACATCCAACTAGTTTGCAGCCATTGTATCCAAAACTGTAGATGGAAGCATTAATGTTCTCATTTCGAATTCATTTGAGAAAAAAAAGATTCTTTCTTTACCAGCAAATTACTATTAATAATATCAAAGTCAAAGAACCAATTTAAAAGCTGCTGATATCAAATCATTAATGTGGTACCTGTTCCCCACATTTCTGACTGGAGTGGGACGAGAGACAGATGCAGGCGATGGATCCGAGGCAGATGCGTTCAATATGAGCTTCCGGGCCCTAAGTCGGCGCAAGTACAGCGATCCTGAGCTGAAACTGCGGGCGAGATAGCCGTCGGGAAATCTAACCGGCATGGGTTGAGAAGGAAAGGGGTGTTTTTGCAGCAACGAATTGACGCTTTGACAGCCCATGATTCGTAAAAGAAACCTATAATAACTATATCAATGGCGACTAAAATGAATTCCAGGAGATTGACTGGCGGCAAGTGCTGATTGGGTTTTCGCAAGTAAGGCGAAAACAGATAATGAGGGTACTAGTCCCGGGGAACTGGTTCTTCTTCTTCTTCTTGGGTTTACTAGGCGGCGATGGATGAGCGAGCGGGCAAACGAGCAAATATAAATCACATCAGTTCCTTGTTTTCTTCAGATGTGACGTGTGAGCTGGGCGGACAGAACAATGCCAGTGGCAATTGTCTTCTCTATTTCTCTATATATACGATGATGACATTGGTGCTCTGGGTTGTGCTGGGTGGGAGTTTCCCCATAAGAGCTAACTGACGTTGAATTGGTGATCCTGTTTTCTTGTTCTCTTTTTTATGTTCAAACTATTTTTCATTAAACGTTTCAAATTTCAATATGGTGGATATTCTAATTTGATTGTGAACTTTTTCATTTCTAGATTTGCGAACAAATAAAGTTTGATACTTGTTATATTCAGCTATCAAATACTTCGTATGAAGTATGGAGTATATTTGTGTATACAGTTGGTTAGAATTAAAATCAATTATCAAAGTATGAGTAATATCTAAATGTAATGGTAACAATTGAACCTGACTTTGAAGATATTTGGGTGGAAACTGGAAAGTTGCTGAAAAAGGTGATAAACAATCACATTGGGATGCCATATGCGACTTATTTAATAATCGATATCGCTAGCACAATGTGATTTTTGGTAATTAAAATATTCTGATTTAAATTGGAAAATGTGAAAGTTGTTATTTGGTGTGGAAATGTCACAAGTCTTTTAAGAGAGTTGTACCTATCAACTTAGTTGGTTAGACTAATATGTGAGATTTGTGGTAGAATAGTCTGTGTCATGGTAAATGACATCAAATTATCTATCATTGTTGATTCAAGTGGTGGAATCTCTCACCCTAGGAGCCCCCACACCCCCGACCCGACAGAGTGGTGAATGAGTAAGTTACGGTGAATCAGTCAACAAAGTGGCAGTAGGTCATAGGCCAAAACATGTCATTGTTTTGAGACCTTAATGTGCATCAGTGTGAAGGGATTGAAGTGAGTTGACTTTAAAAAAACAAATAACTTAATTATTATTAATAAGAGTATCAAAAAATACAGTAAGGATGTAGACTAATCCTGCAGTGTGACTGCTCATGATACTCAAAATGGATCTGGTTTGACCAGTCATCGAAAAGAACTATTAAACTTTCCGGTTTTGCCAGCCACCAATAAGGAGTCAAGTGCAGAATTTGTTCCGATTTCACCAACCACCGCAAAGAAAACAATTCATGCAATTCCATCTTCCTCGATCGTTGATGCCACCACCATTACCATTGTCGTCATTACTAAAGACAGTGATTATTGTCTCGTTCACTAAATTAGCTCGCTCGCGAAAGCACCATAACCCTGGCCCCAATAGCATTCATTGGAGTCCTAACCATTGTCATGGAAACCTTAGTTGCTTCCGCAACACCAGAATGCGAGCCGCGGTCACCAGAACTCTAACTGCAATCACTAAAACTATGGTTGTAGTGAATTGAACCTTCGCCACAATGACGGAAACCCAAGATGCGCCGGATTTACCAAATCCATCGCAACACAGTGCTCCGTGCTCAGTGACAAGTGCTCACACTATCAGTGAAATGTTGTAGTAATTATCAGCATAGTCGCTAGCAAGATAAGTGATTGAAACTCTAGCTGATGTAACTGGAACCCAAAATACGCCAGATTTACCAAACTTCTCTCACCTCGATGACTCAAGCTCAGTGACTAGCCTACACACTATCGGTGGAATGAGACAGTAATTATGAGTGTAGACAATAACAGGCTGAGTATTAGAATTTAAGTTAGTGCCTTCATGGTCGCTATTGGCGCAACTACGGGCAGTAGTGGTGGCAATATAATGATGGTGGTGGCGACGATGGTTACGACGATCAATGGGACTGATTGGACAGCACTGATTAATTCTTAACTATTTTTTGGAAAAAAAAGTGACTCATATTAGATTAAGAGAACGTAAGCAGGAAACAAAATGACAAAAAGTCTTTTGTCTGTCATCCGCCCGTGAATCAGACTTAAGATCACCTCCGTAGAAGCAATCAGATTCGTTGATCTTGTAATGTGCTTAACTGAGACAATGACAGGCAAACCGGAATTCCCATCACCTGTCTTAGATTCTAGAGTTTTGCTACTAAGAAATAACAAGACAAACAAAACAATATGCAATTCGAAATAAACACCAAACATAAAATTAGAAAAAACCAAGATAAAAATCTTCTCCAAGCAGCAGGAAGCGTTGAATCCTCAAGAGCTTAGGCGGGTCTGGAACCCAATGCCCGCCTCTTCCCCATTTTTTGGCACGTACCCCACTGTCCTCTATACCAGATCAATCTTCATCATCATCATCAAGCACCAATTTGCTTTTCCATTTGTCCAAGAACCTCTTGCGCTGGGTCTGCATCATCTCTTGCGTGATGCGACCAGCCTGCCTTGCTCGTTCACTGCCATAGGGTGTTGCCTGACATCTAAAGAAAAGAGACGCACTTACTCGGCGGATGTGAGCCGCAATTCATCGGCGGAAGAAAGCCCTATAAAGGGGTAAACAGTCGTTGTTTTTCACGAGCTTGATTAATTCTTAACTATAATAAATGTAATATTTCAACAATATATTATTATTAAATAACAAAATAAACGGTATGGTTGGGCCCTTTTTCATAAAACCCCAAAAGATATAATATTTTTGTCGTTTTCATTTAATCTAGTAATATTCATAAAAACATAAGTTGAATGTAACTCACTTCTGAGAAAAATAGCAATACTTCATTTTCTTCTCCATAAGCAATGATCCATCAGTGACCAATTTTTTCATTTACTCATTGGAATTATTGATGAATGAGAAGTCTTGCACAATCTAGATATTACGTGATATTGTCCAAAAGGCTAAGCAGTTGAGCCATTTAATAAAGAAAATATGGAAACACTACAAGTAAGAACAAACTCACAAATAACAAGCAAGTGATGCAGCTCACATTTTGTCAATTGATGTAAGCATCCATTGGTGTGTAAGAAAAATGAAATATGATGCTATCACATGTTCTATCTGTATCACATATTTCTGAATGTGTTTGCACGGTAAAACAATTTTAAAAATTTCAATTTACTTCAACATGGTAAAAGCTCAAAGTCGTGACTCGTAAGAGTTTTTTGATAAATTACAATTGGAATGATAGGTCTCTATAAAAAAAATATGAATATAAGAATAATCATGTTATGTTCTTTATTTTAACCACACATCATTGATTTAGTAAATTCAATCACTATTAATCTCTATAATCAAACACTTCGTATACATATGAAACAAGGTAAATAGAAAAAATGAACAGTACAATATAGCATTTTTTTTAAAATATTGGTTAAAAACAAAGAAATATTGGTGCATTTAAATAGCATTTTTTAAATATGATTCAATAATAGTCACAAGCCCTTCTATCCACCTTACTGTTTTTATTGATTTGGCCTTTTTTAATTAGAACATGATGAATGGAAAAAGAATCAAATCACACATTTCAAATCACATAGTATAATATCAAATAAAAAAATTCAGATGAGATTAAAAGGATGAAAGAATGACATCAATATTACTTCTCAGCTTCTGTTGGACAAAAATATGACCACTTTGAAAAAAGTACATAAAAGTGACCAGCCTTTTAACGTACCCATGCACCTTTCACGTTCGACTTACGCATTCATCTTCCATGGCAGACTTTCGCACAAACTTCAGCGTTGAAGACAACGGATCTCCACCCCGCTTCGACAATTTCGGGCCACTCACCATCCAGATCTCTGCCTCGCCTCGTCGTCTAGATCTTTGCCTCGCCTCGACTTCTGTAGCCTACATTAGATTTTGTCGCTCCTGAGCAGATCTGGGTGGCGACTTCGATGGCTATAGCAGTTGGGCGGCAATGTGGCGACCTATTTATGTTGGCTAGGGTTTCAGTGGTTGTTAGAGATATGGGCGGCGGTTGTGGACGGGCCTGAGGTTAAAGTGGATGGGCTGGTAGTGGCTTTAGACAGGGACAGGGCAGGGGTTCCAATAGGGTCTGTGGCGGGTTGTTGTGGGGCTATGGGCTGTGGGGTAAGGGGTGGGTTGAAAAGGGCTGGTCTGGAAGGGGTGGTTGCTGTGGGAAAATGGGGCAGGTCTAACATGTCATGGAGGGGGGAGGGGCATGGGGTTTCAGTGATGCGGTGGTGGGATGGTGGTGTCGATTGGTACATGGTGGCCAGAATATTTGTGGCAGGAGGTGTCACTACAAAGTTGTCACTATGGAAGTGTTACTTTGGTCGACGACAACGGAAATGTCACTGGAGAGATGTCACTATGGCCAAAGGTAGAAACGGAGATGTCACTGCAGAGGTGTCACTATGGTCGGCGGCAATGACATGGACGGCCGCCGCAGTGACACAAGCGGCATCCGCAGTGAGCCAATGACCCAAGCTGCGGTCGCAATGACAAACAACAGTGACGTGAAAATTGGGCAGTGACGTGAATATTTGAGAGTCACTTTATATTATTACAAATTTATAACCATTTTAGGGGTGTTTGGAACTGATTCTGCTTCTGCTTCTTTTTTAAAAGCAGAAGCAGAATCAGAATCAGTTTTCAGAAGCTGGTACCTCAGCTCCCAGCTTCTAAAAAAACTGATTCTGAGAGTAAATTAGAGCTCCAGAAGTGCTTCTGGAATTTCACCCAAACACTCCAGCTTCTGCTTCTGCTCCCTGAAGGAACAGAATCAGTTTTGAGAATCAGATCCAAACACCCCCTTAGTCACATTTTTGTCCAAATATAAATGCGGTCACATTTTTTGGAAATCGGTTTTAGTTTAGTAATACTAAGGGAAAAACTCTAAAATCAGAAAAATAAAATTTTAAATCGCATAAACAAACTCAAATTATTATTTATAAAATCATATATGACAGGATGTCAAAGTTCATATAAGACCAATTTAGGTGAAATATTGTGCCTGAAAAGGTTGTGTGTGTGTGTGTGTTTCATTACTATATATACTTGCTCGACTTTTATCATCACCTTTGGAACGTTGTTTTGTATGGTCATTTTGTTATATTTTAAAGTAATATTACATGTATTCTTTTGTATTGTTTAAGTTACCATAGTTGTTACCAAAATTGATAGGACATGATGACCAAAATCTAGCATCACAATATCTTTTAATAGACAAAAACGTGTCTATTTTTAGCATTATAAAAATAAAGGCATCAAATAGGGTTATAGGGTGATAACTGGACCCAGTGGGCCAAAATTGACCCAAAGGGCCAAAATAGGCATGATAGGCCGAAATGGGCCTCATCATCCGGGATCCGTACTGGGGCGATGTCTTGGGCTTCTGAACAGTAATAGGCCGAGATA